GGGAAAGATCTCTGCATATGACTACAGGGATTATTTATAAAGATCTGATAGAAATAATCTCCACCAAGGGCTTCAATGAAAGGAGAAAAATAGGGTGACATTCAACATCACCAGCTGTTAAATTCTATGAGGCAACAATGGGTCAGAATAGGGCATATCTTACATTTGCAATGCTTTTATTTTTCTATTTATTAATCACATACCATTTAGGAATCAGATGTGACTAAGTCAAAATCCTGAACTGCAGCATTGAGAGCAATGCCAGCAAAGTCTTTATTTTGTCTCTGTTCATGACTGACTTCTCAACGCTGAGAATGGAATTCCAGCTTGTTCTTTGTGAGCACAGTATGTCCTTCAAGTGGTATGTACCAAAGTCTACCCTATCCAGGAGATGGGGACCACATTCATTCAGTGTCCTACTCTCTCACTCACATACCAATCCAACTGATGAGGCAATTTGATGCCTCTGCCTGTTAGAAAGGATTTGATGTTACCATTGGTTTAGCTAAACTGAGCTTAAGCATAAGTGTCAAAAAAAAGAAGGCAAAAAGGAGGCGTTTTTCTCTGTTGTTATTTTGACAGTTTTAATAAAATGAAGGGGAATTCAGATAGCTGTCATCTGTTTCCAGCACCACCCTAACTTGCTGTGCACTAATTCTTTATGTATCCTTGATTTAAGTCATATACCTCTCCCACCTCTTGAAAAAGATAATATTTATACAACTTATCATGTTAATGAAATCTACAGGAGAATCTTACGCTTATATACATTCAGAACAATACTGAATTGCAGAGGTCAAATATAAAGTCTAGGGAAGTAGGACTTCCAACTGTCTAGCCATCATTCTCTTGGCTAGAAGACAAAAATATATAAACTAAAAGGAAAGACAGAATATTTTGATGATGCCATATTTCCTTAGGTGGATTCCTTTAAAAAAAAAGGGCAGCACCCTAATGCTGTTGCCATTAAAAAGCTGTTTCCAGAAGGGAGAAAAAAAACATTTATACATACTCCAATACAGTTTTAACCCTTCAATCCTTAAACATATATATTTCAACCATTTTGATTCACTAGGGAAAACATGATGTGAATGCCCAAATATATTCCATCCAACATGCCTGGAAATATCAGAAGCAAAATATAGCAGCCCTGTCCGAAGATAAATAGCACATGAAAAATGCATCTGAATCTGTTTTCTTGTACTCCGCAGAGGGACCGTGAAGAAAACAACATGCCAGAAAGAACCAAAAGGTTTGCAGAAAAATAAAATAATCTTTTAAGAAATGGGCAGTCTGCCCAAAACTCCAGCGATGACCAAGAGAACTCCATTGTTATCTAGCTCAGTTTCTCAGATGTATGGAACATTGGCTGTCAATGGGAAAATAAATATAGACAATCAAGGCAAGGAGGTAATAGATTCTTCAGTCTGCCCTAGGCTGTTGGTCTGCAGCTGTCAAACTTTCCAGTTTCCCTGGACAACAGCACTGTGTCTGGGAATTCCAAAAATGGTAGTACCAATATTTTTAGAGCAAGACCCATTACCGCTTTCCGAGTTCAAATCATGTTATTACCTCCATTTAAAAACAAAAACAGAAAACAGATCATTGCTTTATACAACAGAGGCAGTCCCTCAATTCACAAACAAACAGTTGCTCATTGCTCCATTACTCCCAGGATACTCCCAAATTACCCCTTAGGTAATTATCCCCTATTTAAGAACCACCGTTAATAGCTTTTCTGATAACTACCTTTTTCAACCACAGCACCTTCCAGATACCTGGGCTTCCACTCCAGAATTTTCTGCAGTGTCAGTACAGGATTGGGAATTATGGAACTATGGAAACACTAAAAATTTTTTGGAAGAAAATATTAAATATGTATTTTTGTGTGGGTGAATGCGAGAACAAGCCATTGTGGTGTAATGGTTAAGGTGTTGGAATAAAAGCAAGAAGACCCAAGTTCTCTTCTTGCCTTAGGCATTGAAGTCAGCTGCATAATTTTGGGCCAGTCACTTTCAGCCTAAAATGGAAACCAACTATCATCTATCTACCATCCTGCATTGGATCACATAGGAAATGCATATATACGTTATGATTTTTATTTTTATTTAGTTGTTTCCCACATTTATTATTTTTACAAATAACTCTAGGCAGCAAACATACCCAACACGCCTTCTATTTTCCCCACAACCCTGTGAGGTGAGTTGGGCTGAAGGAGAGCGACAGGCCCAAAGTCACCCAGCCAGCTTTCATGGCCAAGGCAAGACTAGAATTCACAGACTCCTGGTTTCCAGCCTGATACGTTAACCACAGGACTAGTGGATTTCAGCTTCCAGAATTCCCCAGTCAGCCCAACTCACCTCACAGGATTGTCTTGTGGGGAAAGTTGCCAAGATTGGATGCCTCTGATTTATATGAAAAAGTGAGATTTCAAAGCCTTGTTTCTATATTACTCTTTTTTTTTAATCAGAATGCTATGCTCCATTCATTTGTTGAAATAGATTGATCGATGAAAGTTTGTGCAACAGCAATAATAAATTGACCCTGTATTAATATATTTCCTTCTTTTCTTCAGGATATATACAATAATCCCAAATTCCAGCGGTTAAGAACTCACACTGGTATATCCCGTCCTGTTCTAAATATATGTTACTAATATGAGACAGGTGTGAAGGTTGGGAAGGAGTTGCTATTTAGAAGACATTTCTTCTTCCATATCTCTCTCCCTTTTAGTAATTCATTTCTTATCCACTCTCAAAGTATAAAGAGTAATATAGATGGCCCAGGTGGACAGGGATAAAAAAAGAAACTATGTCACTGAATACTTAAATGACTTTCACCAGAGTATATTGAAGGTCAATTGTCATTCCCTCCCAAATTCAACTTACGTATTCTACCAGATGACATTTTATATTGGCTCAATGGTTTAATTGTTTCATTATTTTAGATTTTATCTAAACTTTAATTATTTTGTGTTTCATTTTCTATACTTCATAATCCTAGACTTGATAATGTTTGATGGAGGAAGAAAAAAAAGAATCATCTCAATAGACCCATACAGACTTTCATTAAATTCAGTTGGATAACTTATCCAGACATCATCAAAGCAGACGTCTTTAGGATGCCATATGCTACTTTTCTTCTGCTGCTGCAAAGAAATGAAGATGTCTGCCTCTCTGGGACATGACACGGGATATTAATCTGCTGTGTGAGTGAACAGCCCTGGTTAAAAAGTACCTGTTTGAAATGACATCAAATGATATGAAAGTTTCGTCTGTGAGGAATAACATCTGGTGTTGTTATGAGAGTGAGCGATAAGCATGTGTGGATCGGGTTAAGCAACAAGATCAGCATCACAATCAGCCCGTTTTGGTCTTCTCTCAGAAAAAGGGGTGGGGCCATATCTGGTGGCACTTAATTAAAGGATATTAATGTAGAAAACTGCCTTATTTTGACAAATCTTTGATCAATCCATCCCACTGCTTCCGATATTCACTGGCAAATCCTCTGCAGAGTTTCAGAACGAGTTTCAGAACAAAAGTCCTCCCAGTTTTACTTGGAGATCCCAAAAACTAGAGTGAGACCCTTTTCCTTCAGAACATATGATCTGTCATTAACACATACTGCCTTTTCCCTAGGAATACTTCTAATCATTTGAAACCCACTTTGGGGGGGGAGTTTCAGTCATCCAAGCAAACTTGCTAAGCTTCGGTTATCAATATGATTCACCTGATTAAACTATTCAGTTGCTGCAAACTAGATCTTGCCACAAGATGTAGACATTACCATACTATTTATTTTTATCCTAATTACATTGCTTGGAGGGTGAAGAATTCACCAGCAAACTGAACATCTACGATCATGTAAGCAAAAATTCTAATTCTTTCACCTCCCTGCAAGGGAGCAAGAAAGCTTTAATGTATTTCTTGGAGAATTACAATAGAATGATTACAGCAATGTTACAAATGCCTACAGTTCTCCAAGATTATGACACCTATCTTATCCCAATTTGTGGGCTTCTGATATAAATAGACCTTTTAGAACATGGCTCTCGGATGGTAATATCAAACCCAGGAGAGAACAAATGAAAGGAAAGAGAACAGGTGCATAAACCCTCTTGCATATTTAGAGAGCATTAAGAGCATCTTACTCGCAATGTTGCAGATTCACAGGTTATGGCACCTCCGTACTAGCATACTTGTGAAACATTAATAGCATGTTGCAGTGAAAGGGGAGAGACAGATGGGAGAACGGTCAAACTGAGAATCAATCCTTTAAAGATATCCCAATTATATGGACTAAACTCTTAAAACCGTATATTGTTGCTTTTAAAAGGAACAACACACACACACACACACACACACACAAGCTAAAATGAACACACTACGACACTTTATAAGCACTTCAAGTAGCTCCTGAGGCAGGTAGATGGAGCCAGCTTGATAATATCTACAGTGACAAACACAATACAGAGATGACAATTTTTTTTTAAAAAAAAATCCCCATTCATATGAAAACATACCAAATGTAAAAATGAATGTTTCATAGCAATATTGAGCCCTCTGCTATAAAAAATACCACCTGAATCATACAACCCATTCACACAGAGCCATACCAGGGGAGAAGGGAAAGGAATCTCCATTCAGTATATGGAGGATTTTGGTATATACGTGCCGGAAGGGATTTATTTCCCTCCCTCTGTCACCCACCCATCCATCTACCAGTGCAATGCAATGCAATGCAGGTACGTTTTGTGAAGCACTCTGAAAAATCTATTCAGTACCCTTTTTAAAAAAAATAAATAAATTCTGACATCCCCCTTCCAGGTGATTCCTTCCCCAAAGCAATTTTTAAGGAATGCTTTCAAGTTAAATATATATATATATACTATCAACTTGGTATTACTGATAATACTCCTCCCCTTCTACAATTGCCACAAATATGGAGGCAATCTACATGCATCCATGCGTCCACACATCCCATACAATCTATTCATTTACCTTAGCATCCTTAGCAGAAAACTCCGTGGAGTTGGAAATTTTCATAGACTTTGAGCGGTGGGTTTGCCGCCAGACGGGGTCTTCTCGTGGATATTTGACTGAACCTGTAGCTCTCACCCGGACTTTGCTGGTACTCTGCACACTATTAACTCCAATCATTTCAGCAAAGTAAATAAATGATCTTTATAGAATTGGGTATCTATAAAAGTATCAGGGGAGACTGAGAGCAATAAGGAACCCTTTTTTTAAAAAAAAAAAAATTCTCTTCAGTGTAATTTTAGAAAGAGAGGAATCTCCGTAAAGCTCAGGCTGTAGCAATTTGCTTAAAGATGCACCAAGCTGGTTCCCCCACCACCACCACACATACTCCCACACACAAACACACAGTCTCTCTCACACAAAGCATCTTCAACTACAGTGTTTTGAGGCAGCGTGATTGTTCAAGGCACGGCTCACGTCACTGGCTGAAAAATATAAAAGGGTGGAAACCCCACCCCTCCACGCTCCCTTACTGCTCAGCAGATATCGCCATCCTGCTCCAACACACACACACACACACACACACACCGAAGGACTCAAGAGTGTCTGTTTCAAACAGCAGAGCAGATGGCAAAAAGCCAAGTAAAAAGTAATTCATTTTGGACTCAAGACAGGCTACACTTGTAATTCCAGCAATGTCATGTCAAACTGCATTAACTGCGCTCAAACAAAATAGAGATGAATCGAAGAAAAGCCTCAAGGATGAGTCTTGAAAGATTTTTTTTAAAAAAAAAAAACCCACCGGCTAAATGATTTTCTAAACAGCTTAGGAGAGGTGGAAAAAAAATGATCCTGTAGGTTCAGAGGATATTCCATGCTATCCTTTATCTATCAGAAGGTTTTTCAGCCCTCTTTGGCATATGGGGTTTTTTTCCCCCCTTTTCTGGGAGTAAGTAAGGAGTTGTGTAGCACAGTGGCAAATTGAACAAGCTACCAGTTAAAAAGTCATCAGTTCAAATCTCATTTTGCTAAAATATGTCCTCAGAGTCTGGTACTGGGACAGGGTTGCAAAATGAGGTAGGTGGTCTTATCTCATTTGTAGGGATTACCAAGAGGTAACCGCCTTCCCCAACCAGATGCGTATTTCAGACATAATTTCCAATTTGGCATGCTGCGTAAGAATTACAAGAATTGCCTTCCCACGTAGCTGGGGGACCCCATCCTGGCATCAGGATGAATACTGAATACTAAAGTCATACCGTTCTCATTGGGATTTACTCTCAGATCATCTTGAGTAAAGCAGTGGATTTGGAGTTTGTAGCAGATTCTTAATTTTCTAGCTTTGAGGCGAGGTGAGATATGTATGTATCCATCACATGTGTGGAAGAGAATATGTGCCTCCATCCATCCATCCATCCATCCCACTTGGGGTTAGCACGTTTATGCAAAGTACAGAAAAAGAGTAAGTAGTAGTAAGCAAAATTAAAATTAAACTAAAGTAGAAATTAAGAAAAAAGAAAAGTCTAGCTAAGATAATTTACAGGGTACCTCGCTCTACCTTTATACCCTTTCAAAGTTTGATTTGCAAGAATTAATAAACTGTGCAAAACAAAATCGGACCGGTACTCATTTCTTCAGATTCATTAGCTGAAACATCAGATCCTTCTCACACATGCTACACACAAAATCCAACAGCATTTCATTTCAGTCCAGCCAGCAAAAATTGCATTATCCCACCCTTAGCAGCCAACAACTCTTGTTCTCAAAGTAACTTCAAGGAATAAGGGGGGGGGAGAGTCTTCAAGCCCCGTCAATTCTGTCTTCCAATCAGCAGAAAGTGACAAAGCTGCGAGGTGCCTGTGCATGTTGCTTCTACAACTCTGGTTCTGTTTTGCCAGTGGCTGTTACCGGCAAACTCCTGCACAAGAAGAGAAGTGAATTTGACCGAGAAGTCTTCCATCGAATGGACGGGCGATGTTTATCTAAAGGTTCTCACGTCCACCTCCCCTCAATAATTTCTAGTTCCTAGAGACCCAGAACATAGCAGATTGCATGTAACCATAGCAACCAAACTCAGATGAGAACCGTCTCTACTATGCCCTGCCTGCGCACAGAAGGAGAGTCAGCTGGCAGCACTGGTTGAAATAGGTAAAGGAAGAAAGTTAGTCTGCAGGAATACAGTCCCCACAACCCGGAAGGTCAGAGCCTCGAGTTACCCCTCACTGACTCAGTGGGTTCCTGTTAAGACTAATTGACAAATCAGTGGATTGTTTGTATCTGTGTGGAGGCTCTCGGTATGTTTTATACTTTCTCCCTCTTCCTCTTTTGGTTAGTACGCACTAACTGATTCATTAAAATTATTTTGATTGAGTTCTTCCAGATTCAGCCCACCACCCCTGGCTTTCTAGAAGTTAAAATGTAGGAGGGGAAGAGATGGCAATGATATTTTCATCCTAGTGCTATGTAATAGTCATCTATTAACCAAAACCATCTTTCCAGACAGTAGATTTTGCTACGTACATTTGCCCGTGTATATGTGTGCCATGTGGTAATACACGGAGGAGAACAAGAATTAACCTCTGGAATATAAAAACATGCACCTTTATATAGCTTAGACATTTGAAGTAATCTGAAATATCTAACACTATTACAGGATAAATGAATAGAATAAATGGGAGGCTATATAAATAGCAATAGCACTTAGACCAGTGGTTCTCAACCTGTGTGTCAGGACCCCATTTGGGGTCGATCGACCATTTCACGGGGGTCGCCAAGCATGGCTGTCCGCCATTTTTTTGTCTGCCATTTTTTTTGTCCGCCATTTTTCCCCCTTTTCCGGTGGGTGCCTTACCTCCCTTGGGCTGGGCCAGCTGGTGGTCGGCCTGCTCCGTCTCTGCCGCTTGCCAGCTACGCCTCGGCCGGCGCAGGGGGCGGAACCACGCATGCGCTGCACTCCCGGGCAGGGAAAGTCCTCGACTTATGACCGGTTGGGTAGTCCTCGACTTAAGATCGGTTTAGTCCTCGACTTACGACCGGTTTAGTCCTCGACTTACGACCGGTTTAGTCCTCGGCTTACGACCGGTTGGGGTCGCGGCATTAAAAAGGTTGAGAACCACTGACTTAGACTTATGTACTGCTTCACAGTGCTTTACGGCCCTCTCTAAATGGTTTACAGAGTCAATTTATTGCCCACAACAATCTGGGCCCCCATTTTACTGACCTTGGAAGGATGGAAGGCTGAGTCAACCTTGAGCCGGTGAGAATTGAACTGCTGGCAGTCGGCAGAATTAGCCTGCAATACTGCATTCTAACCACTGCGCCACCACAGCTCTTCTGAGAGAAATGAAGTGCAATGTTAAGAAGCTGTACTAGAAGTATAAAAACTTCCCTTAGACATGAGAGCCAGCTGGGCAGCCTTGGGCCAGTCATTCTTTCTTGCTCCCAAACAGCATCAAGCTTTCTTCCTTTACCTGTTTCCACCAGGGCTGCCAGCTGACTCTCCTTCTGTGCGCAGGCTGGGCATAGCCAATTGAAGAAGAAACCCATTGTTTCATTGTGCACTGATAGCCCTTCTGCATTAACTAGGCAAGGGTACTAGCATGGTATAGTGCAAAGGTAGGCAACCTTGGCTCTTTTATGACTCGTGGACTTCAACTCCCAGAATTCCTGAGCCAGCCAAGCTGGCTCAGGAATTCTGGGAGTTGAAGTCCACGGATCATAAAAGAGCCAAGGTTGCCTACCCCTGGTATAGTGGTTAAGGTGCTAGACTAGGCTAAGGAGACACAGATACTAGACTTTTTTTTTAACATGCTTTCTCAACACCAGGCTGATTAAGTCAAAAAGCATACATCTCCCAACTGGTACCAAACCAGTATGGTAGATTAGTCCTTGAATTATTCTGTGGGTGAAAGGATTTGGGCTGAAAACAAGGACAAGAATAATGGAGACTAAGTACAAAGTTGGCTTTCGATGTTCTACTATGCGGTCAGGAATATTTTCAGCATGCCAACAACAGTTTCCATATTTTTCTTTATGAGTCAGAAATGAACATATAAGTTTATCAGTGCTGGATTCACACATCCTCTGAAGAAGTTATAGCAGTCACATTCATATTCCAAAGATTAATTATGACCAAAATGATTGGGGTTCATACAGTACACCAAACCCAAAACCAAGCAAACCAAAACATGGTTGAGTACAATAGTTTCAGCTGGTGTGTTTAAAAATACGATATACTTGTTGAATTCTGAAATCTCATTCAAAAGACTTCATCAGCGTTCATTTCAGCAAGGATGGACTCTTTGGTGCAATGCTAAATGCTGAAGTTAACTTTCTTCAAATCTCCAAAATGGTTGGGATTACAACAACAATTAGCTAGGTGGCTGAGAATTCCAGAAGTTGCGATCCTATGGGGGGTAACTTACTTGGAAAGGATGTTTTAAGATAAGATTAAGTTGCTTAAAATGTAGATATAGAAATATTAGATTTTCAATAAATCAGTTATGTTTCTTTCTAAGATGAAAGTGAAAGAATTCTATGCCTTAGGAAGGAGAAGAAAGAGAACTTATGGAGCTCAGAGATTTAAATGCACAAAAAGAAATACACTTTTCATTTAAGTGAAAGATAAATCTTTTGGCAAGCAAGCAGTTTCTTTGGGCACCTAAACTGAAAGGTCAACTAAAGCTTCTTTGCAGACTCATCAGCTAAATCAATTAAACTATTGCTTTTGCCAGTGTTCAGAATATTCATTGCAACTTTGGCTGACCTGAAAAAAACAAGAAATAAATAAGAAGAGGTCCTTGGTGCTCTCTGAGCTTGGTTGTTTTCTTGCAGATGTGTTTTTCTAGTGTTTTGAGACTTGGCTTGGTCTAAGATGGTCATGGTTTCCCAGTTGAAACTATGATTAAATCTGTTCATATGCTGTGAAATTAAAGAGTTTTCTGACTGCTTGTTGGTATTCATGGATGTGTTCTGCTAGTTTTCTACCTATTTGTCCTACGTAATGGCTGTTACAGTCTTTACACTCTGTGTTGTGAATGACTCCTGCTTTTTCTTCTGGAGCTGTTGCATTTTTTGGTTTGTTTTGGAGGGTTTTAGTTGATTTGTGTGTTGTGGTGATGCCATGTGGTTGTAATAGTCTGCTGGTAGTTTCTGAGATGTTTTTGATGTATGGCAGTGTTATCCTTTTTACAGCTTGTGTTGGCTGTGC